AATCCAAGACAATTAACCAACACACATACCAACAAGAGTAAAACACAACAAATTACTCCAATCCTCCGTCGCGCTAAAATTGTTTCATCTTTTCATTTTGATTCGTCAAACTAAAATTATCTCAAACAAAATTGATAATGTTTTTATAGATCTAAATCATTTTCACTTTAATCTCACATTATTAATTAATATGAATCACACAAACTCATTTTTTCTAATAACCATGTCACCTCTTTTTATAACAATGTTAAGATGGACGAAAGTAGTAATACTTAAAGAAAGAATCTCATTATTATATTCTCATGTAATACTACTATACGTATGTGGTCGATTAAAACACTAAATCTAAATTGAACATATTATAAATTGAATAGACCATCATGTAAGTTGTCATTAAAGTGTACTAATATATTATTATAGTATCACACATAACAATTTTATAGAGACGAGTCGATCCAATGCTAAAAGTGAAATTAGCAGTACTTACTTGAAACATTTTTTAGTTAGTCCTATTAGACATCGCATAGCATGGTATTAAGACTTGTAAAACCCAACAAGCTAATAAGTTATGTTTGTTGAATGGAGGAGATAGGATGAGAGAAAAAGCAGAGAGCATAATTTAGGGCAGCTAGGTAGGGGACACGAGAAAACACCATTTGTTTTGCATTTGCTCTTCCGAGTACAATAACCTACGTGGTACGTGAATCAGACGCCACTCTCACATAGTCACATTACAACTATATTTTAAAACAAGACTTGCATGTAGTTTTGTACTCGTCGTTCCAATTTGATTTGCAAAATTTTCTGTTTTAGTTGTTTACATATAGATAATAATCGCAAAAAGTGAAGGGGCATCAGCGCATCACACCAAAGAGATGCATCCCTAGCGTGCGGTGGCCACTAGGCTCCTTACGCATAGCGATTGGACGACGCAGAGGCAGGTTTCGAGGCAGGAATCGTGGCCTCCACAAGGGATGCTTGACATTCGACTGTGTATATAGGTACGGTTTTTGTTTAGTATTACTTCACTGAGGTGCTTTGGTTGAGGTGGTTGTGTGTTGCCGAGAATTTTGTCCGGCTGAGTTTTCTCTAGCCGAGAGTTTAGTCCGTTCCGATTGTGAACATGTTTTGGATTTTTTTATTGAGTTCCGCAACATCTTCTTCTCTGCCCAAGATCCGGTGTTCATTTTGTTGGCTATTAACGGAGAGCTTAACTCAGGCTTGTGAAAGGATGTCAATCGAGGAGGTTGATGGTGAGAGATAAAAAACGGCAAGGCGACGGCGCTTCCGGAACAACACCGCCTAAAGTACTGACAAGTTCCGTTAACGAGTTGATTTCTTTGGAGATAGATGGTCAAACATCTTCTCCCTTTTCGGTGGCCGGTAAAGTCGGGATGCTTCCTTTGGAGGTGGATGAACAAACCTCTTATCATATCCCTTCCTGGTGGTTGGTAAAACCGGTCCTTGGGGGCTAATCGATTCTATGTCTCATATGAGTGTAGTCTTTAACTATTGTATTTCTTTATCTCTTGCTTTCATCATAAAGATATTGAAACTTGAGTTTACCGTAATTAATTATGGTACCAAATTACTCATATACATTATCGATACATACTTTGAAAATTATAAATTGATTGGAAATAGTGAAATGCAAAATGTTGGAACATAATTATTGTATTCATTGTTCAAAATTGATTATTCTTAGAGCCCGTTTGGTGGCACGAAAATCGACTGATTTGGCTGATTTTGTTGAAATTTATGAAGTTCTGATTGAAGTGACTGCATTGGCTGATTCTGCTGATTTAAGAAAAAAATATTTTTAAAATATATTTTGTTAATAAAATTAAGAAAAATTATATGTAAAAATAGCTAAAATGATCCTCTACAGTAACTTCATCCAAAACAGCCAGAAAAGTAACTTTAAACTTAATTTTTTGCTTATTACACAACTCAGCACGTGAAAGCAAAAGTTTCACGTTTGGTGAAAAAGTTGGCTGATAAGCCTGATAAACCGAAAAACAGTGGTTCCAAACGACCGAATTTGGATCCTCTCCAGTAACTGGAGAGTTCCATTAGGAGAGATATAGAGAGGAGAAAATTAAGAGTGAGGTAGGTTGGTGAGTAGGATAGAGAAAAAGGTAGAGATAGATATGAAGTAAAAAAGAAATGGAGAGAAAGATATGGAGAGGAGCTGCCCAAACGGCCTCTCAATCATGAATGGGGTATTGCGGAGTATTAGTATTTGTACTGTTTTTTTTATTGATTTAATATAGCAGTAGCATAACTGCTTTTTGTATTTGGCCCTTTCCCATGAATTTACCATTAGTCTAGCATGATAATTTTTTGGAAAATGATGTTTGTACCCACTTTTATACCACTTTTGTACCCACCCATGTTTGTGAAGTTAGTTTTTTTGTCTGTGAATTCCTTCACAGACAAAATATGTCTGTGAAGGAATTCAAAGACATATTTTGTCTGTGAACCGGCTTCACAGACAAAAAATAGCCTTCACAGAGGTGGGTATAAGGTGGGTACAAAGTGGTGGGTACAACAAGCATGGTTGTAATTTTTTACAATTAGTCTGGTCTAACGACCTACTACTCTAGTAGACATACAAAAGCAACTAGGCCTCAGGGGCGGCCCTAGGGGGTGGAACAGAGGCGATCGTAAAGCCCATTCAAATTGATTTGTTGTTTCCAAATTCCAAAATCAACAAGAGTAAAGAACGCTGCAAAGCAGTGAGTGACTCAGCGATTTGTTAAGAATTGAAGCCAATCAATCGAGGAGCTCAAACAACGGTGGGTGACAAAAAAACTTTCTCTTTCAAGGCTTCAAACAATCCAACAGTGATCAATAAATTATTCTTGATAAAATGTGTGAATCAGGTTGGGATAAAAAAAGAAAGAGGAGAAGATTAGAAAAGAAAGGCTTAGGTTAGAAGGGGTCAGTGGAAACATTTGTTCTTGTTAAGAAATTGAATCCTGAAACTTCCATGAGAAACGCTTTTAAGTAATGTTTATAAAGTTGGAGATTCTGATGAATTATCCGTGATCGACTATGTCTCATGAATGAAAGGCTTAAAGAGTTAGCAATTTTAAGCATTGAGCATGAGATATTTGAAAAAGTTGATTATGAAGTAATTATTGATGATTTTGCTTCACAATGTCCTGCGAGAAAATTTTTTAAGTAATGTTTTCCTTTTTATGTGATGTACTAGTGTTGTATCTTTTCACCAAATATGTAATTTAAATAATAATAATAAAATGAGTTTTATTTTTATTTAATGACCTTTATTAGATAATATTATTATAATTATTATTTTAAATAAATATAATTTATTATTTGTCTTGAATATAAGTCCAAAATAATATCTCGCTCATAGGCCCAAAATAGACAGGACCGGCCCTGCTAGGCCTACTAGGCATGCACTAATGACAATGAAGATACATAAGCTATAGATGTTTGCAATTTTTGGAATGATTACGACATAATATGATCATATATATGATTCTGAATTCTGATAAGTGATAACTGGTCTGAAATCGAAAATAAAATGCTAAACGAATACTGTGACCAGGAAGTATGAACTATGAAGTATGAAGTATGAAGTATTTGAGGAGGAAGATGAATCAATTTCATTTGAGAACACTTCGGCTTGGTTTGACGATCAAGCGAAATGAATTGATTGGGTTTGTGAAGAAGAGCATCAATTTTTACTAGGCTCCTTCAGTCCTTAAATGGCCTCTTATATACAAATATAAAATTCTTTAAGCTACTGAAATTTAAGATTTCTAAATTTTTAATCACAATCGTTTCATTGACATTTATAGTAATAATAATAGTAATAATATAATACACTGTTTTTTGTAGGGGTGTTTGGTTAATGGCCTATTAGCCATTTTTTAGCTGATTTGATCACTATTTGGCTTTTTGACCAGATAAACAGCTAATTAGCTAATAGAGGTATTTGAATTTATATCGTAAATCGCAAATTATACCGTGGGATCGGCCCACCGTGTGCACGGTGTGCTGATCCCTAAACTGTGCCGTTTAATTAAAAATAGTCGTCATCTTCTTTCCCAATTGTCAAGCAAGGCGTTCATCCCTCCCCTCGCAGATTCTATTTGGAGCCATGGAAAGCGTGAAAAGCCCCTGTTAATCCTGATTCGTGCAGAGTAGTCTCCTACCAATCCAAATGATTTTTCCTCTGTTTGCTTCTTTGAATCCGGAATTGAGACCTCTTGGTACCGGAAGAGAAAGCTTTTTATCTCCCCACAATAAATTGAAGAAGCCCCATGCATGTGTTCCATCTTGTAAAAACAAGTCTATGCTTATCTCTGCTTTTCCTTCGATCTTGTGGAAAGAATCAGCGTAGGGGAAGAGATTGCACTTCAGGATCATTCAATTAAACCCAGCTCCATTTTCAATATAAACACACACATATGTGTATATATATATATATATATATATATATATATATATATATATATATATATATGTCGTCATATTAGAAAACTTGAATTTAGATATGAGAATTTACATTTTCAATCACGTGATTTACATTTCGTTTTGCCTTAAGTTACATTTTCATACCCGCGAGTTACATTTGAACTTGTCCCAGAAAGTTATTTGAAAAGTTTTTTTTTTTAAATCGTTTTCAATGGTCCTGATAAAAACAAAACATATACACTACTTATGTAAAATAATAGAGCTATTAGACTCCTTTTTTCATTATTTACCTTGAAATCAATGTTTTGCTTCTTACATTCGGATTTAGATAACTTACATTTCAACTTGACTCAAGTTACATTTCTTATCAATGTGAGTTACATTACTTTAAACATGAGTTACATCTATTTGATGCTAAAATAAAATAAATTAAAAAGAAGGCCTGGGAGTAGGATGCTCACTACAAAAAGTCTTCGTGTACACCCTGGGTTACACCCTGGGGTACACCATATATAAGGCTTGTTTTTTACCCCATCCTCCCACACCTTTCACACACACGCACATGTGTCTTGAGCTAAAAAAATGCCTCTACCCACTTCGGAAATCGAACGCCTCTTTCCCGCATCCCCTGCCGTTCCCGCTCCGCCTTTCTCACTTCGCACAACAACAGCTCCGGCCAATATCCCACTCCTCTGTGTTTCCCTCACCTCACGAACCCACGACCGACCTCCATCTTTATCATCGGTCGATTCTCCAAGTACAAGGAACGAAGACCGGCCTCCATCTCTATCCTCGGTCCGTCTTCAAACACTGTGGGAGCTTGCCTCACCCAAACCCAGAGTGGCAAACATGGTGCGAACCAGCCTCTCTGAAATGGCCGAACGGTACGTACTTCAGATAAATCTTGATTTTTTTTGTTTTACCTTTTATATTTGACTTGAATATAGTGATATTTTCTTCAATGTCAGTTTGTTGTGTTTTGAAATTGGTTGTATGTGTCTTCCAATTGCGGTGTTTTGTGACCTTAAGGTTCGACGTTCGAGTAGTAGGTGTTTGTGAGGTGTTATTTAAGATTACAGAAAGTTGCAGAGTTACACCATGAACTTAATCAACAGGGCCAAAATCACTTTGCTCCTCTAGCCGATGCTTCTGATCGTTTTCAACATGCCCAAAACGATAGCCCTCAACATGACATTAAGTTTTGTACAAGGTTGTAACTTGAATGTCAAACTTTAATGCATCTGTATTTTGTAAACATTTCCTCTATTTGTATAAACACTTGTAAGTTTATGTAATGGAATGTGTTTGTGGTAACATATTGTATGTTAATGGAATGTGTCTATGTCCATCGACAATAATAGGTGTGATTATTATTAATGTCTGTGTGCGACGATAGTAATATGTGTATTGTTGTTATTATTGTCTGTGTGCACCGACAATAATACTTGTGTTGTTGTAATTATTGTTTAAGTGCACTGCAATAATACTTGTGTCTTATTCCTATTATTGTCTGTGTGCACCGACAATAATACGTGTGTTGTTATTTTTGTCTATGTGCACCGACAATAGTGTCTGTATAAGTACTTAATGTGTAGTTATAACTAGTCTGTCACCTATAACAGTATCAAAATGCATAAACAATGATCCTTACATTACATCAAACCCAATGTCATATTCAAATTTAAATATAAAATTCATACATTTGCGCTAGGGACTTGCGGTCCAAGTTCACGAGTAGTAATATAAGTTGTCTTTAATCACACAAGTATAAAAATTGAAGACACATTAAATTACATCACAACAAACTTAATGTCATGTTCAAATCCAAATCTAAAACTTCAACATTCGCTACCCCACTTCATCTCCAACTTATTTACAAGTGAAAAAGGAGCTAAATGTCAACCAGTTTCTTCTTCAGACGCCAAAGTGGTATAGCAAATTGACATCTAATGTTCCACATGTTGGCGTAGTCACAACCTGATTTTAATGGTAATTGCAACAACAAATTCTCCGCAAACGCCATGACCATGACTCCACACTCTCTAGTGCTGCAACCACAACCAGTGTCGACAGAGTTAACAATAAGAAGCGTACATACATTAATGTTGGTGTACACGGACAATTACATGCTGTTTCACAGATACTTACGAACATGCAGAAACACAAATGACTTTATCAATTCTAACTAAGATACGTACAATTATATTACTAATGAAATTTATTTTAGATTATTGGAAAAACAAACTAAGACTCCAAAATTACTAGAAGTTGAATTTATGGCATATATGCAAAACAAGAACTTAGTATAAGACAAAAATCACAATGAAAAGTAGTAATCTTTCCATTTCATAACTTTCATGCATAACCTTGGCAACCACTATCAGACTATAGATTAAGGTCATAACTTGGTCAAATAAAAACACACATGTCTTGAATCATGAGTAAATATTTAAAGGGTACTAGAAAATAAAGCAAATAAAGAGTTCTTATTTACCTTCAAAGCGTCCTTGAATTTCTCACTGTGCTTTGGAAACGGTAGCTTCTACCACCCATTTTAAAAATGGAATCAAAATTATAGAACACTTAAGATGCTTATTTACATTGTGGGGAAGAACAATTGAAATTAAAATATAGACATTGAATGGCTGTTACAACATAGTATGCATGTAGTAGTATTTTAAAAACTCTCCAAACAAAAATACTTGACTTGTTTCCCCTTTTAATAGGGTTCCTTTATTAATCACAAATACAGAACTTACCAGCCAAAAGAAAGGAAATCTGAAATCAATTTTGATGGTTTGAAGCACTCAGCGATCACATCTCAAACAAAGCGCCTACCTTTACAAGATAATGTTTTCTCGGTGAACTAAGGGTTGACGGACCAAGTTATATATTGTTACCAAGTCATGAAACCAATACTAGTTAGCCAATTAGCTAGACTTAGGAGCCAAAATTCATACTCTCGCACATATAAATCATCGCACATATAAATCAAATACGCCTTTCTTTTCCATTACTCACTGCCTAACATATACTTTTGTGCTACGAAGAAATACATTGGCATAAAGATACCTTTCTTCACAAACATCAAACAAAATAGAAACGAGAAATTATAGCTTTCCATGACCTCGTCACTCTTGAAAGTTACATACATTTTAAGCACACCCATTTGAATTTTTTTTCATACTTAGCATAAAGTATTTTTCTCTCCACACCTCTGTCACCACATCCCTCTAAAATAAGTATTGCATCTGCTCTCTATAAACAAAGGGAAAGAAAAACGATCACTTTCGGGTTGAATACACCTTTAGTAACTTCCAATCGGTAACTTTTAGATATGGCTAGGAGATTAAGGAAATATATATTCTATCTGTTTGTATTATCTGTTTAGAATGACTTTAAACTGAATCAAACTTTGAACACTTTATAATTGTCAATGCACTCATTAAAAATAACTCCTCTATAAGTTTTCCACTTAGAAAATCTGAATAAGGGTAAATTGAACACTACTGATTAACTCATTCATAGATACCACATTCATCTTTGTAGGTATGCATCAACTCAAGGAGGATTTCTTCAGTTGTCTATACATACCGACATTACTCTGTGCACAACGGCATTAGTTGTCGGTACACACCGACACTGAGTATGCAAGTTGTTTGTATGTCAAAGAAAATACCTCCAACATCTGTGTTCATGTTCTCCCTGCTATTCTCTTCCTCGTCGCAACTGTAATCATCTCGGCCGTCAAATATCGGAACTTCGTTGACGCCTTGTGTCACAGGTCTGCCACTCGTCCCACCTAAGTCTTTGTCCCTAGGGTTGTTCGGACCACCATCTTCCTCATTCACAACTCCACCATTTCTGTCTTCCATCGCAACTCCATCTTCTTCGTTCACAGCTCCGCCATTTTCGACGCTCAGAGCTTCCACGTTTCTTCCATTTCCGTTGTCCGTCATCCGTCGCAGGTAAGGGGTATCTTCCAAACCTCCATCGTTTCCGGTCACTTCTCCATCCACCATCAAATATGCTAGAAAATCATCCATGATATCTAGAAAGAAAAAATAAAAAAACAGAGAGAAAGGTGGGAAGAAGAGAACGAATAAAGAGGGATGTGGGAGAGAAAGAAATGTGCGTGAGGAATGGGGATGGGAGAGCTGTGTGAGAAGAGGGGTAAAGAAAGCAGTAAAAAAGAAGGTTTATATATGGTGTATCCCAAGGTGTAACCCAGGACTTTTTGTGCTCACTATGAGCCGCTCTATACCAACTCATCGTAAATCCCTATTTTGTCCACATTCCGCAATGCTCGTAACTTTGTATTTCATACGGAGTACTTCACAACCAAATAAAATACAACAATGTTTGATGTACCCACTTTTATACCCACCTTATACCCACCATGTTTGTGGAGGTTTTTTTTTGTTTGTGAACCCGATTCATAGACAATATTTTGTTTGTGCAAAATATTGTCTATGAGCCCGAGTTCACAGACAAAAAAAAACACTTCACAAACATAGGTGGGTATAAAAGTGGGTATAAAAGTGGGTACAAAGATCATTTTTGAATAAAATACAGGGAGCAAACCCATGATGCCGTTTAAGGCTGGAGTACTCATTAAGTCAGTATTCCATTTATTATTTCGTTTGTCAATACGTACAGGGATTTTCGTAGTATATTTTTTTTACTTATTATTCCATTTGCTAGTCAAAAGATAATCATACTTATTAAACGAATATTAATTGTCCTGCCAAAAATACGAATGTTTTTTTTTTGAAAGATCGTTATTTGTATTTAAAAAACAATGTTGAAACGAATTGTTACTTGTGTTAATAAAATTTTATTTTTATTAAATAAAAATGGATAAGGTAGTTGTATTAATCATATTAGCAAAATGTGTGAGACATTTATAAAAGTAGTTATTAATAAACGGAACAAATTAATTGATGCTCGTAAAAGTAATTTAACAAGTTATCAGCCAATTGTAAACAGCCGTTTAACCAAACACTGTTTTATAAACAGATAACATTATCAGCTAAACAAAACAGCCAACAGAATCTGCTGTCACTAATCAGCCAACAACCAACAGCTGATTGCAAACACCCCCGTAGTATGTTTTTTAAAGTTCTTATCATACTTAATTAGTGACAAAAATATGAAATAATATCTAAAGTGTGATCAAAATCCTAGTAGTTGACAAAAATGCGACTTAGTATATTTTAGTCATTATAATTGTGTTCGAATTTTACTTCATATATAGTGACTATAAAAGTATACATGTCCTTACTACTATACAATCTAATTTTGAGGAAAATGCAAGTATAGTCACTAAAGATTAATAAATCACTTTTTTAATTCCCAAATTTGTTTTTTTAAATGGAGAACCCTTATTTATTAATAATAAAAATGATCAGTACAAAAGCAACTCGCATAGACTAAGGCTATAATGGGCTGACACATAGAATTGAAGAGTTCCAAGGGAACATAACAATTTGTTAATCCCGTAAAGATGTATGTAGACTCTTCTATCAACAAGAAGAATGGCATTGATATCGATTTTACCATCAACCAACAAAGAAATAATAAAAAAATTGGTTTGTCCAGCCACCCTAAAGAAACAACTAGAATCCACAGTTCGATCAGCTATTGACATATTCAAATATCATCGATTTGACCAGTCACCAAAAAGAAGATTCAATCGAGCCTATCTTTCTCTCATAGCATGGCCGTGGTTCAGAAGTAAGGTGAATAATTGGCCCGGAATTGCCAAGGTCTAAAGTAAACCTCCCAAAAATATCAAGCAAGCTAAGACTAGCATTGCTAACCACCAACAATAAAATTTCAACACCCGATCGATTTCACCGACGAAGAATATGCAAAGCTTAGACATCGCGAGAAAGAAATCACGTAAAATAACTTGAAATTTATGACGAAGAAGATCTTTTTTCATATTTAGAAGGAGAAAGAAAGTTGAGGAGAAGAAATAAAGAAGATGGGAGATGGCTAGTGTTCTTATCCTTCGTCACTCCCCAAAGAAAGATCTTTTTCACATAATGTTCTTCTCTTTATATGAAGAAACTTAGACACTACTCATAAATTTGTTATTAATACTATCTTAGTTAAAACTTCTTTTGATATTTGCACAAAACTTTTCATGCGTAATGCACGAGTGAGACACTAGTTTAGAATACTACAAGTATGATGTGTTTAATAACCCTATGATTTGTCATGGTATATTTCCACGCCAAATACTCAATATGTAGTACATTATACGGAGTATATTATATGAAAAATATATGAGCTTATTTGATAACACTAAAATTGATCAAATCAATTGAAATTCTACTACTCTAGCTTATACAAGTGAAT